CACTCGGTGGCGTAAGGAACTGAAACAGGGAGAACGCCGTGGGCAGCTAAGGGGAGCGCTTTGTGCTGTCTCAGTTCGTGCTCAGAATGTGCATGGAGCACGCGTTTTGAGTAACGCGCCAGGGTCGAAGGCAGTGCGTAAGGCGACGTCGAAACACAGCGCTAATAAGTGTAGATCATAAAGCCTTCCAGTCGGTGTCGTAACTGCTAGGTTTAAAAGCTATATTACAGCGCCGCTGCTGGACTATAATTGATAAATAACAGTATAGTTCAGTCCTCTAGGCTGGCTTGAGAGCGCTACTACAAGTTTTCTTTCCTCTCTGTAGGGATACAGCTCTCATCATCTGTCTCTTATGATCTCAAAAGCGAAATTGAAGGCTTCGCTTTCTGTTAAGTGGAAAAAAACTTGCAAATGTGGGGAGCGTTTGTAAGTTACTCCTCAGCTGAGAGATCAGGTTATTAAGTGGTGTTCACGTTCTTTCTAAACCAGCATTGTAGTCTGTAGAAAATACTCCGTTGGTTACAAACTGCAAAATACAAATAAGAGTGACTTTATCAATCATTCTAAAAGTTCAAAGGCTTTATATTTCAAATAGATTATATGATGGCCAGTTATCAGGAACACATATACAAGTAGCATGACTTACTTTTAGGAAGCGGATTGACTGTTTCAATACATAGTTGCATTATAGATGTAATGTTTAGTAGACAAAGTGGTTTTAGAACTGGATTCTGGGACAGATACTTCTAATATCAAATGCTTCTAATAATCCTTCAGATGCTTCTAATAATCAAATTAGTGGTATTGGTTAGCACCCAAGGCTTCTCTACTGAGAACACAGGCATTTATAACTGCAACTTGCTTATTGTTTCTTGGTGTAGATCTGTGCAAGTTTTCTAGCGAATGCAGGCATTACTGTATATTGTGTGTGTTTAATAATTAAACCTTTACAGACATGTAATGCTGCCCAGAGAACTTTCAAAACAAGTGCCAAAATCCCATCTTATGTCTGAAGAGGAGTGGAGACGACTTGGTGTTCAACAGAGTCTTGGCTGGGTTCACTATATGATCCATGAGCCAGGTAAGCACATCTGAGCAGAATTACATGAACAAAAAAATCTAAAATGCCAACTGCCTGGTGCCCAGCTGAAGCGTGTAGTGCATAATTGCCTCTGCTGTGGAACCCAGCTGGAATTCACTCGTCTTACCTACTTGCTATTTTAGCCTTTTGTCCACGAAGGCACCATAAAAGCCTATTTTAAACCTTCATATGTTGCTCCCAGAATTGTAAAATGCCAACCTTGTCCTGGGTATGAGGACATACATGTAGACAAAACATGCCAGACTGGAAACTGTACCTACCTCCACCTATAGATATAGGTTTCTTGTGAGCTCCTGAATAATGCCAGTATCTTGGTAACTGAACCAAATTTTATGTAGTATCATATCTTTAAAGCAAAAATCTGACATACCTACTTTTTGTACAAAAACTTAATAGATACTCAGGTAGACAGTGTCCTGAAATGTCTGCGGTACAGTTCGAACTCCAGTTATAGAGCCTACTAAAAGCAGCACTTAAAACCAGTTTCTCAGTTATTGAACTGTGAAGCCCTAGGACTCTACCAGGGAGGATGAAAGCAGTCATTCAAGGTAACTTACTCTTGACAAGCCTGACTAAAAAGTAACTGGTGATGGGTGAATTGCAGCAGTGTTCCAAAAAGAAACTTGTGTAACCTTCCAGTGCTTCCCTTACCTGGGCACATTTGATATGTTAGGCTTTTCTGGAAGAGTTTACAATTAAATCAGGGTAATAATAATGTAAAATGGCTGTATTAACTGAAGTGGCTTTTGTTGATGTTTTGACACTACAGTTTGCTAGTCTAAGTTAAAGTAACAAGGTTTGGCAAGTAGACTAATGTGGAGAGACAGAGCTAGTACCAATACTTACTAAAAAAAATAGGGGCTTTTCTCTGTATTTTTCCAGTACTTGCTTCCTGGAAGTATCTTCAGTTTATGATGATAACATCTGGTATAAAACTTTCAAAAGCACCAGTTTGACTTTTGTAAGGTTACTGCAAAGTTGGTCTGTTAATACTACACATGGGGCTGTATTTGTTAGCTTCTTGATCTGTTGATTACTGACAGTGAACTTCAAGTATTGTTCAAGACTTATTAAATGGCAGAAATTCCTGTAATCAAGTCTTAGGGGACAGACTGACACTGTTCAATTTTATTTCTGCAGAACCGCATATTCTCCTCTTCAGAAGACCTCTTGCAAAAAATAAGCAGAAATGAACCACTGTCTATAAATCATCTCCTGGAATTATGTATATGAGTGTATATATGTTGGTAGTATTCAGTGAATAATTTAAAATGTACAAAACATACCTGTGGATGAGCTGCACTAATTACAGCAACAAAAGCTCAGTTGAGTGAAATTCTAAGTAGGCTGCTATGGTGTTCCAAGGGTGACATTATTACTACTAAATCTAAGTGCCTATCTTACCTTTTAGTACGTCTTCTGACAAAATTGTCACTTGTTCTGTGTTCAGTAATGTTTACACTCAGCTTTTCTGCTGAAGCATACCGTGTTCAAATTTGATGGCTTACCTTTTTAGAAATAAACTTTTTAATGCTCTAAACCCTAAGTGCCTAGAGTTTTAATTCGTCAGACAAAAGAAATATTCATTGTCTAACATGTTAAGAGTACCTACTTCAGAAAAAAAAAATTAACCCAGTTAACCTGTTTTGTTTGTCTGCAAGAGCTATTTTGTCCTAGAGGCCAAAGTTCCTAAGCCTGATTTAATTGGGAACTGCTGGCAATCTGAAAAGAAGGCTGACAGAGACAGGTGATGCTCAGAGTGATTTCCGATATGCTTAAGTTATGGGAAGCTGTAGTTGATATACATTATAATGGTATTATTCTGCAATGACTACATGTCTCCTGCTTCTCTGGAGGTGTCTGTTGATAGAACAAGAGGGAATGGCTTAATGCTGCATCTGGGGAAGTTCAGAAAAAGTTCTTCACAGAAGGGGTGGTCAAGCATTGGAATAAGGCCCAGGGGAAGTGCTTGCAGCCTGAGCCTGTTAGTGTTTGAGCTATGTTTGGACAACCCCCTTAAAGATATGGTTTAACTTTGGGGTTGTGCTGTATGGAGTCAGGAACTGGCCTTGATCCTTTTATGTCCCTTCCAATGCAGCATGTGTAGGGATGACTTGGTATAGACTTGTCTTAAGGTGTTAAATAGTACTTAATATTTAAAATAAAAAAATAAGATATTCTTATGCTGGTTTGATTTACTTTGGTATTACTGGTTTATCTTTCTGCTGCACACTTTTTAGTCTGGGCTTTTAGCCTGCACTTCCTGCACCCCACCCTCCTTTTTTTTTTTTTTTTTTTTTTTTTTTTTTCCCCCCTCCTCTGGGAAGGTAGCTTGTACTCTGTGTAGGCAGTAGTGACTTAGAAGTGTTGTCAAACTGAACTGAACGCTTTTCACCTGACGAAAGCAGCTGCTGGTTGTAAGACTGTATGAGCTCGGTTTCTGCACCATGTAAAAGCTTAGTGCTAGCAAGAATCTGATCAGTTCTGTTTTAGGAAGCTATGTGCCAGCAAAGCTGAGCTGCTGGAGGGACTCCATCTGACATGCAATAAATTGCATCAAAACAGTCACTGTGGCATCCTGGGACCCTGTACGAGCAGCTGTACAACCAGATTTTTAAAAAAGGTGTTGTATATTTGTTGTTTGAATAACTAGTACAACTAGTACCAGTGGCTGTGGCTGCTTCATTTCAAATGCCAGCTAGTATGGCTCCATGGGATCTGGAAGGTCAAGAAAACCAGAAACATCTGCAAGCAGCTTAACTCATGAAGTACATGCTCCCTCTGTGTAATGTGTGCTTGCAATTACGGTTGTTAAAATGGACAGAGGTAAGCAACCTGCCAAATCTGGTGAGGGAAATAACCCTTGTGGTCTTTCCTCTACAGTTGATAAAGCTGTCTGTTACCTCGGTGTTAGTTAAATGGTCTGTAATAGGCTCTTGGTGCTGAAGTTTAAGACTTTCCAGTCTTACCGCATGGACTAGAGCTCTCCAGGGGCTGTGCAGACACCGTAATTGGAGAAACCGTCAGCAAGAACCTTGCTGAGCTGTACTTCGCCACTCTTCCCCGGGGCTTCGGCACCTGAGTCCTGGGTATCGTCTCTTCATGTCGCACTGCTCCTTCTTGCCCCTCAAACCTGATCTGTTGCTGGTTAAGTGCCTGCTTTATGCCCTCCTGTCCCTTCTCCTGGGGACAAAGCTCGGCTGCACGTTGCGGCAGGGCGACTCGGACAGGACCAAGGCCCAGCACCGCTTGTTCTCGCCACTGCCGCCGGGGCT